AACGGCAGCCTAGATGATATGAAGTATGAGAATCTTTTTAACTTTTCCATCTGTATGTACAGACTGTCATCCGGGAGTTTGCACGTACTACTCCGAGTTTGTGCAAGAAATGATTGACCACCTGATAAATCAGTTCGCGGCATTGTTTGATGAGGATGAATTGGTGTACAACACTCCCTGTCTGACACATCTGATAGATGAGGTGAGACTGGACGAATGGTTAGGTAATTATTCAGCGTTCCCCTTCGAGTCTTACACGGTTCAGCTGCGAAAAATGTAACAATTACCAACGATGCCTGCTTCGCAAATATTTCGAACAGTATCTGAGCGGGATATTAACCCCACATCATCAACACTAGGGCCGGTCACTGACACCCAGTGCATTCTGATTGGTTGAATTCCCGTTAATCGGAGAATATCATGTAAGATTTCGTTCTGTTTCAATCATTCGATGCTTTGGTTTATCCTTCAAGAAGCCGGATAACCCCGTTATGGTTAACGGACGATCCGCCTTTGTCATTGGGGATCCTGATGATTACCTGATTGTTCGACGATTCAGGAAGATTTTGAATTTCTTTGAACTGTATGTTCCTCCTTCAGATTTACTTATCTTCATGTATGATTGATTCACCTAGTGGCGCAAAAATGTTTTGGAGACGGATGTGAACAGCAAATGTCACGATATAAAATACAAGGGACGTTTCATCTTCCATCGTCTCCTACATAACCTTCTAAAATGAAGGTAACACATTCTTATTTATTATCATTAGTTCATGCTCACATTTGGATACCACAAATGAAGAAAAATGTATGTATGTAATTTATTCAAATACATATAGCTGTAAACCTATGGTTAGTTACTTTTGATCCTCAATGAAACCATTATACGTTAATGAATGTGGATCCTCCGTAACTGTTACTTGATTTAGATGTACTTCACCGAAGATTTGACCGATAAAACGATAACCAGTGCATCAAAAGTGATTCATCTCCGACAATGAGGTTCAATGGCCTAAAGCGGGTCAAATGTCAACTAAAAAACTCCGTAAACTGTTGGAAGCAGGCAAGGACCTCCCACCGGGGGCCACAATGCATAAAGTTCATGTGCTACGGATAACTGGTCAGTTTCAATTGTTAACACGCTTTAAATCGTGGATCACTATTTAAAAACGCTCCAACATGAGGACCGATACCAAGACGAAAGGGAGCTTCCATCCTTCAATGCAACTGAACCCATGATTGCAAAATGCAAACTCAAAGTGAGTGCTGGTGGTTAATGCTGACAAACTGTTCACAGTGCTCCGGTTATCCTATCTGACTTTGAAGTAGAAGAGCCGACCGCGAGGTCAAGTCAATCTTCTTACCCCTGGGCACTATCATAACTCATTTCACCAGGGGTCTTTCGTCAACAATTCAGATTGACACATTGACCGTGAGGTAAGTAGACTGCAGAGTAGACGTATTGCGCACTAGAAATAGAAATAGCAGCTTATCAAACGCAGAGACAGAAAAAGAAAACTGTCCACTACCGACAGGGTAAGTTATTTAATTTCAATTATGTATCATATGTTCTTCAGATTAGACCCCAGTTACATTTGATAAACAATGCCAAGCATCCAGATGAGATATTTATTCCTTATGCTTACGGAAATCAGCGCATTAATTGAGATAGACGATTTCAATGAGTCGGTTTTGTCTGCTCAGCCAACAACAGTAAATAACCTACATTAAATATGAGTAAAGTACGCAATTCATTCATTAAGGATTACGGAACATCACACTTCGATCGCGAAATACCATCTTGTCTGCAACACGAACGAGTGAAGTAACACGCCTTTTTCACCGAAAATGGGTTCCCTATCCAACAAGCATGCTCAAGCAGACACAGTTACACTGTGGTACATCAATACTTGCAGCATACGGGATGAGTGTTGAGGGATGCGACGGCTCACCCCAGGCATAGACACCGTGGCCATAACTCAATCATGGGTGCGGAAGCACCACAACATCTCAGGATGAATGACTACACAATTTGTAGACAATATGGGATGGATGATAGGAAAGGAGGAAGGGTTCTGGTAATGATAAAGCCAGACCACACGCAGTGGGAGGCAGCAGAAGCCCTAGCGACTCTAAACATACCAGCCATCAGTTGTGTAGTTAAAATATACAGAAACGCATTAGCCGTCATGTGCGTCTACCGGGCTCCGCAGGCAAATGCAACAGAATATCATGAATTGACCTCTCAGCTGCAATTATTCCTTACCACTTCCTGAAGGGTGTTGTTAGGAGGGAACTTCAACATGCCAGGGGTCAACTGGAATAGAGACAGGGCACCGGCAGGAACCGGAGGTGGACCGCTTCAAGAGTGGCTACATCAGCACACATTATCACAACACATGCGACAAGCCACCCGGTTCAGAGCAAATGACAGGTCATCCATACTGAATGTAGTCATCAGGAGAACCCCCACAGACATAAGAACAATAACCCGAGAAAAGCCTCTGGGGAAAAGTGACCATGTAGTCCCGTGACTAACGTTAGAAAGCGGATACGCCAAACCAGCGGCCAGACTAGGGAGGCGATATGGAAAAATTAAGCCGGAAGAACTGACCAGAGTGGCGCAGGATATAAACTGGGTGCCCAACCCAGCCAATGCATCTTTGGAAACCAGGTGAAGCCACATAAAGGCAGGACTTCTCTTACTCACGGACAAGTTTGCGCTTTTGGTTCCGTTAAGAAAGAAGCAACGTCCTCCCTGGTGGAAGGCAAATATAGATAGGGCTATAACCATTCGTAGAAGACGGTGGGCAGTCTATAAACTGTATGGCACCCAGCAGTCGTAGAATGGTTACAGACAAGCGCACAACTATGCGCAAAATGTGCGAAGGGACGCTAAATGCCAATTTGAGAGAAACTTGGCGCAAAATTTCAAGCGATGAAGGGCAGAGCATGGAGGGGATAAGTAGGGAGTGAAGCTGCCGGACATTCACGCTACTCAGGCGGTTTCTCAGGTGAAAAGGCTTTGCCATGCAGAGTCCAGGTGGGTCTTAAAACCCTTCACCGAACTTGAATTGACTAATTCTTTGGGTAGTCTGTTCGGCTCGTTCACCGCCATCATGACAAACGATTGCTGTCTTACGCGGGTGGATATCTTTATGTTAGCTAACTTAAGATCATTTCCTCTTAAAGTTGAGTTCTCACTTAGAGGTAGTAGTAATCTCCCTTGTTCCACAATGTCGTCCAAAACCCTTTGGGAGTTTGAAAACCTCAACCAGTTCACCCTTCCTTCTCCTCGCCAGGGATTAAAGATATAGCCTCTTTAGCCTGTCATTATATCCGAAGTTCCTTAGAGGTTACAAGACGGAACAAAACAAAAATATGAAACCTGATTGTCCTGCTCCTACTCCTCTAGTTTCCTGAAGTCAGTAGATGGGAGGTCAGACGTTGGCTTCAGGAAAGAGTTCAGATCACCGTTCATCCAGAGCCCGCTTGAATTCTAGCACGGTCTGCAGCTCTAACAGCTCCATGGGTAGTCTGTTCTATATGTTGACTACCTATTTCCTGAAGAAGTGTGACCGGGCGGTAAATCGAGACCGGGCCTTGGCTAGTTTTATTTCGTATCCTATTGTACGGGAATCTGGCGCTTCCTGGAACAGGGTTTCTGGTCTAAAACCAGATAAACCTCTCATTATCTTAAATGTTTCTATCATATCTCCCCTGAGTCTTCACTTTTCTAATCAGAATAATCCCAGGTCCTGAAGCCTTTAGCTTGTATTCGTTTCCTCGCTGACCGTCAACCATTCTCGTTGCCAGGCGTTGAACGCGTTCTAACCAGGCGACATCCATTTTGAAGTAGGGTGATCATGCCGAGACAAATTACTCTAGATGTGGCTTTATTATGACCTTGTACATGGGTGAGAATAAATCAAGTTTGCGGCACGACAACGCTTACCTTAGTCTAAATAACTCAACCCCAGCTTTTCATGCCACTCTGACACATTGATTCGACCACCCTAGATCAGGGGTTACCAATATTCCTCAGTGTTTTACATTTTCGGCGGCTTCCATAATGAAGGGACCTACCTCGTGACCAACTGTGTTACCCTCTACAGCCCGTGACTGCAGGTGGCGTTCGCCAGCATTCAGTGGGAAGTGCCATTTGAGGCCCAGTTTAGAACTGCTATAATATCGCCGGCCAGATCGTCTCATCCCCTTAACCCTACGACTTTCATATCGTCCGCGAAGAAAAAGCTAGGCGACCAGAGGGTTACGGCTGGGTAATTTTTACACAGTTGGAATCAGATGGGTCCCAATATCGATCCCTGAGGTACTTCACTAGTGATCTTCCTCAGACTCGAATTGTACCTACCTACTCTTACGTAGAAAGTTCGCCCACTTAAGAATTCACATATCCAGAAATATATCTGCCCCTCTATGCCGACGGCTTTAAACCTGATCAATAGTGGGCGATGATTCACGGCGTCGAACGCCCTACTGAAGTTAAGGTAGCGCACCTCTGCACTTTTGCCTTCAACCAACCTGCGAGGTACTTCATCTAAGAACCACAAGAGATTGATGAGAGAGGTGGATGATATAATGCACCTAAATATTCTGCCTTTCAGAAAAAGCAGAGCCAACTTTTGACGAGCAGTGTTGGAAGCCAAGGAAATTAGCTGACAACACAACGATCTCGACGTACGATTCGTCTCGACCACTTCCGTCCTGTGCAAACTGAACTGAACTGAACTGACCTGACCTGACCTGAAATCTGACATGACCTTGACCGCACGGTTGAAAATCTGTCGTGGATGGATAAGTTCGCACCTTTACGTTTTATAAGGGTTTTTCTGTACATCATTGCTTATATCCTTAATTGTGACCACCCTAAGCTTACTCCATTCCATCTTGTTCCATTGCGATTTATATTGTACTAATGCCACTACTCTTCAACTACGTACTCTGAGCTCTCAGAGTGCTCCGACGAGGACACTTTACCCATGCGGGAAATCCTCATACTACATGTGGAGGCTGAAACCAGCGAATGGGCTAGCACTCAAATAGCGCTAGAAGCAGCTATAGTCGCCCTTGACCTGCAAAGTTCGATTATACACGAACTGCGTGGAAAATTCTCGGCACTAGATAACGATTCAAGTCACCTGACAGCGTTATTTAAGGATAACTTCCCGGCATGTTCTGCCGTGGGCCAAGTGATCGCGCTATTGAAACAACAGATGTCCGAGACTGTAGCCAAACCAGAATCAGCGGCCATTAGCGCCAAACGGATTATAATTTCGGGTAGTTTCCCGAAGTTCAATTCTCCGGTTCAGGCAACCGAAACTCTCTTGAGAAGCCTTACAGCACCATACCTACCCAAACCAGTCGGAGCGTCGTGGCTGATGTCCAAATCTAAGAAGACAAAGGTGGGTATCCTTATCACCTTCAACTCGGAATCAGTATTAGCAGACTCTCTCGCCCAAACCGAGACCCTGAAAAGGGCATGCAACCTT